TGGTAGACTAATGGCCACTTTATTGAAATTATTGACCATTTTAATGGGCATTCCTAATGTAACTGTCAGTTGAAACCAGGCAACCAGGTAATGTCCTCTAGAATGCATGGATCTCATGTGTTATCGTGATCATCGGATTCTAAGCGGTCCCTTGGTAACCGCTCAACTATATCAGATAGATGGATTCAAGTCCACGGAAACCAAATATTTATTTTCTCCATGAAAAGGTTCTAAACTTTATTGGTTCATCAGCTTCTTTTTTTCATATAAGAGACGCTTTTCAAATTGATATGAAGAAAATTATGGAAGCACTTCTATTTAATTAAAACTATGCTCGTGGCTTTTCTTTTCCAATGCAGTATCTTGCGCGTCTTTTTTTTGGATTTTGATTTTGATTTTATGTATTGTAAACCTTGTAATTATGTGCTCGATTAGACCATACTATAGTGATAGATATCTTCCGCAGAAGACACATTCTAGTTTAAACAACAACTTAGCTTTGATTAAGGTGGTATGTTTACGCGTTTTTTCGGATTAATTGATGGATATTATCACGAAACCCTTTCAACAACACACATGAACACCACAGAAACATTCAATGAACATTCCATGCCGGACTAACAATAGTCTCATTTTGAACATGTTGTCTGACTCCTACATTAAGGACATATGATCAGCCATTGTCTGAAGACGACCATCGGTCAAACATGATTTGGTGTCAACGTCCGATCATGTGACCAGGTGTGATAGCGTTTACACCTGCACACATGCATGCTGAGCAGAAAAATAGCACTAACCACGCAGAACACGTCCTATTCCTCGACAATGCCAAAGAACAAAGAACACATCTGGTATATACCGGGAGCTCGTCGGTGTAGGCGTGGCGAATAATGGGTGGTGTTAATGATGGATTGAAGCACCAACATCACAACGCCACGTGAAAAACAAACGATTTCAATGTAATTCAGAAGCCATATCCCAGGAGGTGTTTCAGCATCATTCAATACCAACAACATGTCAACTAAGTGTCGAGTTGATATAAAAAAACAATAGTGAGGTTTTTAAACGTACTTAGATAAACAGTCTCTTCGTCAAAAGTACTTTTCGCCAAATATAGGTGAAGTAGCCCATTGGTTAAAGAGTTCGTTCGTCACACCGAAAACCCGGTGTCGATTCCTTCAATATTGTGATTGAGTGAGTGAGTGAGTTGGGTTTATGGCCGCTTTTAACAGTATTCCAGTTATATCACGGCGTGTCAGCTTAATGTGGGAGGAAAGCCCGAAGTGATGCAGGTCTCAGACGTTTACCACTTCGGTGAAACCCACGAGCACGGGTATGGTGCTGACAAACCTAGAAACATAATCGGGGCGAACCAGGATTCGAACCCACAATCATAGATTTCTGACGTGCCCAAGGGACGCAACTCTGCACAACTCTGTGAAACAAAATCCTGGCGGTCAACGTCGTGATATTGCTGTAATACTGCTGCGAGGGACCCACCGATGCACTAACGTGTCATACTTTCGGGTCCGTTACATACACACTTTGTGATGAAAACTATGAACTTAGACTTACCTAATGTATATATACTGAACCGCAAAAGAAACGTCACCCCAAGTAACATTGCATGAAAAGTTGTCATTTAAATATCTGGGTACTTTTTGTCAAAGATTCTAAAATTCAACATTACCTTGTCCGGAAAAATGAAATTTGATGACAAAAACACTAAGCAGATGACAATAAAACCGATCGCCCAAACGCATCAGGGCATCGGCCATGGTAACATGATGCACGTGAGTTCCGTTCCCCCATTTCTTGCCCTATAAAAATCAGATAACATTCATTCGTTATTGAATTGCTACCACATACCAAGATTGACAAGAAATCAGCGACACCAAGCCCTTGGACGATTGCAAGCTGGACAAACCGCCCGGCAAGTAGCCAATGGGTTTCAAGTCCACGTGAGAACCATATACAGGCTCTAGCAACGGTGCCAGACCACCAACATTACAGATCACCGACCACGTAGTGGAAGACCAAGGGTCACTACCCGACGTCAGGATCGTCAGATTGTGCGACAGCATCTTCAAGATCGCTTTGTTACTCCTGCGGAAACTGCTCGACAGACCATTGGGACACACCAGCGACACATTAGTGCGAACACCGTTCGTCGACGATTGACGAGCAGACAGCTCCACTGTCACAGGCCACACCGAGGACCCATTCTGACACCATGTCATAGCCGGGACCGTCTTCGATGGGCAACATAGCACCAACATTGGCGCCACCAGCAGTGGAGAAGAGTCCTCTTCTCACACGAGAGTCGTTACTGTATCTCAAAAGCAGACAGCAGAGAGAGAGAGAGAGTCTGGCGACGCCGTGGGGAACGTTATTCGGATGCTTGTGTTGTTGAGAGAGACTCGCCGGGTGGTCCGAGCATCATGGTGTTGGGTGGAATTGGTCTTGCACAGAGGGTCGGCCCTGTGGTCTTCCAGAACATCGGTCCAGGGAGAGGCAATGTTGTCACAGCAGCTCGGTAAATTGATCAAGTCTTGAGATCACACGCCATACCTCATTTGGCACGTCGCCGCAACCACGAGTTTCAGCATGATAACGCCCACGCCCACACTGCGAGAGCAACAAGAGACTTCCTCCAGCAGAATGGCATCAGAACCATGCAGTGGCCTGCCCTCAGTCCCGATTTAAATCCCATTGAGCACATGTGGGACGATATTCAAAGACGGCTGAATGACGTCCGCCTAAGGCTGAATTGCGCCAGGAGTTCCTCAGAGTGTGGGCTCAGAGTGTGGGCCTATGGCCTCATCCATTCCATGTTGCACGGCAGTTATCAATGCACATGGCGGACACACGTGATACTGACTTGTGATTCCATTTTCTCAGAGACTAGTGTTGTGTTTCACTTTAAGACCAGTTGACACTTTAATTTCAACTTTGAAGATCAGTTTTGCCAAATTTCATCTTTTTGATATGTCTCAAAGTATGTTTACAGTGTTTGGACAAATAAGGTTTCTCATATATCTATCCATGGTGACGTTTCTTTTGCGGTTCAGTATATTTGTATTAGAAAAAATACAAGCTTGCATTTTTCATAGCCGACACACCAGGAGTAGTTTATGAAAAATCAATTTCGAACATTATGCATATATACTTTGTTTATCTCAATCGCACGCTCCGTGTAAACTGCGTCCGAATCTATCCATAAGGGGGGATCATGTTCATTCACGACTGACCAGATTAATATATAAAGATGACCATATTTGAAACGTACTGATCTCTGTTCGAGATAAGACAAAAATAATAATACACAAAAAGACGTATACTGAGGTTATCTTAATCGCCCAATCTTCTTGTTCTCTGTGTCCGAATGTATCGATTAGGAGGTGATCATGTTCATTCACAACTGACCAGATTAATACTTAACGATGACCATATTTAGAAACTGACTGACCTCTGATTCAGCTAATACAGGTAAGGGGGTCATAAATTAATTATTTACAGCGTTAATTAGAGTGTAAAAGTGTTACAGGTCGACCGTGTATGTACTTAATTGTATATAGTGAGACCGCGTTATCCAGTACAGTGGTTAACAACGCAAATCCGTTTCTGTGCGATTCTGATCCTTATATCCTTATGTTTTTCGTATAGTTGGTTAATCTGAACCGATTCTAATCCTAATGGTTCAATAGAGCTGGAAGCGTCCTGAATAAGATGATCTCATTGTCACGGTAGTCTGTTATATTTTTCTGTTCATTATATCCCCATCTACCCATTATGTGTCTATTGCTAAGTTCGTGTAATCTACAAGAACAATTTCCTTTAGGCAGAAAATCTTGTCCGGTTAATCTTGCACTGACAATTTATATTTTCTTGTGTTGCTGAGATGCATGTCCAAATCCATAGATTTCTGCCACACGTACAAAATATATCAATGTAATTTGTTAATATTACTGTTTCTTAATGATAGTGGCAATGGGTGCATTGTTTAAATTACGAGCGACTGAACAAATACCATCTCGAAACATTTTAACAAACTTCTCTTAAACATTGTATAACTGTATCTGTGTCTTTTCAACTCGAACACACAAACAGTTTTGATAGATTGTGTACCATGCTATATATAAAATGACCTTTAACAATGGCACCGACATGGGAAAGTACACCACAATGACAGCACACGAACAGAAGGTGCTCGTCAAAAAGCCTGTTCGTGTTGTGACATACGTGACTTACTATTATAAGTTGATGGAATAAAATGAGGCTAAATGGTTGTAACACAACATTGTTCTCTTCTTGATTAAATCAGGTTTTACATTTAATTAACAAAGCATTGATAATCGATACGTTTTACAAACCTTGATGCTGATTAATACATATATATATAGATATATAATGCGCAATGTGGGACACACACACACACACACACACACACACACACACACACACACACACACACACACACACACACACACACACACACACACCTCACTCACACACACACACTCACTCACACACACACTCACTCACACTAACACACTAACACTAACACTAACACTAACACACACAGAGAAAATAAATGAATGAATGAAGCCAATACTTTCCTCCTACAAACTGCTACAAACTGAGCAAGTGACGAAAAAACAATTTGGTTTCCATGCATAAACTACTTACAGTGTATCATTTGAATATTTTGAATACTTTAAATATTTTGACTTTGAATGACTTTTATAGAAAAGCCCATTGTACTTTCGCAAGTGTACTAGATAAACAATTGATAAGAACGGAAAACGTGGTTTTACCATTATCTATATTACCAAATATTTTAACGAACCTTTTCTTTGTAACTTAATAATGAACGAATTATGTTCAAAACACATCTGTAAGTATGTATAACCATTTTTTTTAAATACCAAGATCGAAAACTGTTTGTAAATAAACAGAACAACAGGTACTATAATACGATGATCTTCAAAGGAACTTACTTTACATTTTATCCAGTGTGTTTCCATCGATCAACCCTTTCCCAACCTCTGCAGAGCAAGACAATCGTGACCTGCCGCCCCGACGAAAGGCCACGTGATCTGTGAATGAAGAAAATCTTCTCTAAGTGATGGAAACACTGGCTCCTTACAATGGTTTATTTGTGATGGCGATTGTTTGCATTGTGTGCTCTGTGAGAGCTCACATTGTATCGAACAGTTCCAGATATGTTTGTTACTGTGTTGTCGGTTTGGTTCAATAATTGACGCTGCCGTCTTCTCCTTTTGTTTATCTTACTATTGATAACATAAGATCCGTCGATCAATGTATGGGATGGTATTGATAGGATAAATCGTTGTTTTGCGTGTCAGTATAATTTGATTTTATCATTGCCAATTGTACGGACATGGCCTTAAGTTACCCTGATCAAATCTTTATTCCAGGAAACACGTTGATTTGCGTTTGCGTAAGTAATCTTACTATACTGAGAACCCATTGAACTTCTTGTCGGGCATGCGAAGAAAATGATTATGGAAAGATTTATGAGAATAGGAGATGAGAGTTAAAATATTGAACAAATGCTTGAGCTAAGTTCGAGATTCATTAAATTAGCATGATTCCATATTATAAAGCATGGATAGTACGAATCATGATTTCTTTCAGGGTGTATGTTTTCCTTGACGAGCCTACTTCCCGAATTACCATAGGCCACAAAATTATTGCAAAATTTTAGCAACGTGCATGTGTGTGTATGTGTGTCTCCGAGCCGACCAGTCATTGTTTTCTGTCCCCTTTTATGTCAAACGCCAGGCAGGATAACAACAAGTACCATCTTTTAACAATTGCCCGAAAACTAAACTCATGAAAAGCATAATTAGACTTTTAAGAAAATAAAGTTGCCATCCATAAAATTACATTGTTTTAAATAAAAAATATCTGGTTTTGTAGCTGAAGCTGAAAAATTAACAAATGTTTAAATGGTCAACACCTAAAGCATCAATATCTTCTCCAATACATCAGTAAACCTATATCAATATATATATATATATATATATATATATATATATATATATATATATATATATATATATATATATATGCATTGAAAGGTAACTGTCCTGGGGTTAAATGACAGTCCTTGCAAGTTCGATTCAAGTGGTTATCACACGTCCATTTATCTCAATTAGTTAATTACACGTACACACATGACATAAAATAGACGTCTAGACCTACACTGGACATGAGCTTCCGACTACAAAGAACAGTCTCCCTTAGATGAAAGAAAAATGCACCTACCGTCATGTTGACATAATGTTCGAGTCGGCGTATAGACTTCACAGCCACAGATGTGTTCAAACAAATATTCATGTTACATTGTGTTCAAGAAACGGCATCTCGCACTCGCAAGAAAGGTTTCAACGGGGAATCATCCCAAACTGGAGAAAGTAAAGCTGCATTATCATGGTTCTCAGGGATAAGCACTACAGGTACACTGACGGGTACACGGGACATGTATGCGAATGGTATGTTCTGCATTATGTGTGGGACGCTGACATTTGATTTATTTACCCATTGCTTACATTGTAGTTTAACATTGTAATTATCTTGTGTATGATCAAGTAATTAGTCCCACAGGTAAATGATACGTCGGCCTAATTAAGGCACGGGTAGGCCACAGACTGACCGCGGTGGCCAAAATTGGAGCAGCATGAGCATCTGGCGAAATAAGATATCGGGGCTGCTGGAGGAAACTAATGGGGACTTACAGTAATTAGAGGGCGGAAAATCAATAGGCAGAACACTGACTACCTCTGATTAAGTTAGGATCGATGAATAATAAGAGCCTTTGCTGTTAGCAGTTCTAAACTGTTGAATAACCATGATTAATCCTACATATATTTATTTGTATGTACATGTACAATGTGTTCATATATGTTGTGTTTTTGTTCTTCTTACAAACATATGTTCAAAATGGATTTTGTTTTCTATGTAAATATGTTTCTGTTTTTAACCTTGAACTGTAATGTATATATTAAAAACATCAATGTCTGTATATATGTATTGGGGAGAGGGACGCCTGTCTTAGAGAACTTTTGCCCAATCCAATCGACCATTCATGTCAATACAATATGCCCGAAAGGACATTATTCCACTTAAAACGAGTGTATTGAATTTGAATTCTCAAAGCATTCTTCTGACTAAAATAATTATGACCAAAATTAAAGTGAGTACACTCAACAAATGTCACTTGAAATGCGCATGCTGTCAACTAAGCTGAACACTTGGATGTATATCACTGGAACATATTCACCCGTTTACTCGGGTCTAAACGTTTGCAATGAGCACCTGAGGATAATGCCACTTTAAACACATAACTGTGTGTCATTACATAAGCCATTTCTGATCGAAGAGGAGACACAAGTAATAATGTTTTAAATCATTTGTTTGCTTAATCAAAACTCGATTGTTTGTAGGCTGCCCTGATATAGGTTGAACATTACTCGCTGCGGTATTCACTCACTCACTCAACATTATTACTTAAAAGGGTTTGGGTGATCCTGGCACAGTCAGGGTGGTTAGACTCATCATCCGCTCAGAGCCCTTGCCCCCTCTACACCCAGCCCAGACAGCGAATGGGACTTCTCCCAGGAAGCGCTGCCAAGTCGAACTGACCCAGAACTTTTCTAAGAATGTGAGGACTCCCAACACTGCAGCCCTCTGCATTACCCAGATTGTCAGAAGGGCTGTATTCCCGGCAGCAAACCCAGGTACTCTCCCAATGCCAGTCAATTGGGAGGTATCAAACCTAAGGCACCGAGGACAATGGGGGTTCGGACATCTACGCACTTTGGATAATTATTATAATGACCATCACCTATACATTACTATATAACAAAAAAGATATACATATTTACCGTTCTGAACATCGAGGTTTTTGCATAATGATATATTTAAGCGTAAAACGTAAATGTAAGCGTAGCAAAATGTCACCTCTCTGGTAATACACTTTATTGCACAATAACACAAACTGTACCGAAGTCACGTGTAGAATACTTGTAATCGAGATCTGGTTGTGTTGCCACTTACACCTGTCACTTGAGACGAAATCTATTTCTGCTGTTTTGTCAACAATGACAGATAACGTAACGGGACTATACGGTATACATTGATCAGCTGGAAGGGGGCCGCGCGGCAAGGTCCCAGGAGAACCGCTCCCCGTTCTCGTGTTGTATGACATTGATTAAATTCGTATTTAATGCTCTTTTTATGACTCCTAGATGTGGACATAAAAAAGTAGCCCATTTTCCTGTGAAATAAAATATATGACATTGGCGTTATATAACAGTAAACGTATTTCTAACTCAAATTGTGTTTTGTACGTACAAATATCATTGAATAACGATTTGAATTTAATATTTCACCTTGTGGGTATTATTAACACGACACGATAATCTGTTCACAAAAGGAAAGAAATTGAGAAAAGTAATGTACAAATATAAATATAAAGTAATATATGAATTTTTTTTAATCAACACCGTTAAGGATGGTTTGTCTGTATTGCACGGTAATTCATTCAATTTGGATAATAGTTATTGTCTACAATGGTATTGTTTAAATTAATACTTCAAATATAAGTAAATATTGGACTTTTAAGGAGGAAAATTACATTCATTATTAATTTCGTTAAGATATTCTTTGTAACGTTATTATTGATTATTATTATAATTAGTTTATATATTTATTTATGTTTGGGTTTGAAATAAACTCACTTACATAATACGACACAGCAGTTGTTGTGAGTGATATGCCATACATAATAACGCATGCAGAATTAACCACGAGAAATGGATAAGAACAGATAAAAGCTAACTTATAATTTTATTAGGAGGAAAAATAGAGTACTGATAATACAAATGAGGCATAAACACCACTATACAATAAACACTTATCTGCTTAAAGACACACAGAGTACATTTAAGACACAACACATGGAAAACGTCAATACCTTGGAAGTACTCATGTGGGAATGTCTGTCCAACAAAAGGAACACAGTCCTTACAAAACAGAAGTTGCAAAATGATAGGTCCTATATTATATGAATAACTGTAAACATATATTACTGACATCAGGTTTTTAAGAAACGGCTAGGCATGTCCTGTCCCAGCTATAGCACACGTCGTACGATATAAACTTGTTTATATCTGATAGTCTTGCACCTTACACCTAGAAAGGGAAGGAAGCAATGCCTTGATAACAGACACATGGCCGCATGACACATACACACACAGATGCATGGAACATAAACACATCGAGACACATTGAACCATGGACACATGCCAGATGGGCACATTGAACCATGGACACGTGACACATTAACCATGGACACAGGGGAACATTTAGCCTTGGACACATCGACACATTGAAGCATAGACACATTGGACCATGAACACATTAAACCATGGACACAGGGGCACAATTAGCCATGGACACATCGACACATTGAAGCATTGACACATTAAACCATGGATACATTGAACCATGAACACATTAAACCATGGACACAGGGGCACATTTAGCCATGGACACATCGACACATTGAAGCATTGGCGCATTGAACCACTGACACGTGGACATATTAAACCACGGACACAGGGGCATATTTAGCTATGGACACATCGAAACATTGAAGCATAGACATATTAAACCATGCATACATCAAACCATGGACACATTGTACCACTGACACGTGGACACGTGAATAACTGAAACCATGAACATGGGAATACATCATCACATGTAAACGTTGATACGTAAACAGTTGGATAAATGGAACGATGAACAAAGGGACAGATGGAATCGTGGAACCATGCTCACATGGGATACATCGGTCCTTGGACACATGGCAACATGGTCAGATGGATCATGGACATATCGAAACGGTGACACGTTTGAACAACGCCATCAAACTGAATCGTTCAGAATCCTCACAGAAAAAAATGATACAGACGTACGGATGCATACAATTCAATCGTCGTAAATGTGTGACAGTCTTTCGTACAACTGAAGTACCAACTTATTTGAAATGAAGCGTCTTCTTAAA